AATTTTCTGCAGATGGTTGAACTAAAGAAAACCCGACCCAGCAAGCCGGGTGGGGGGCTGAATGATAAAGCTGTCTATGATGATTTCTGATGATGTCTCTCTCTGTGTTTCCCAACCCTCTTCTTCCCTCGAGTCTAACTTGCCAACCCCCCCCACCCTTCCCACCCCCCTTTCCCAGCACACTTTACTTTCTCAGATGCACAGGCTGGAGTTAAAATCGTCAAGTCCGCCCCTTCCCACCCACAGGACCCTGCTCAACCCTCCCCACCCCTCCCCGCCCCAAACAGCTCAGTGTCCGATAGGAGGAGGCCCGGCCGGTCAGATGTAGTACTCCTTCTTCTCGTCTGAGTTGTTGTGGCCACCCTCAGCGTTGATGATGGCCGTGTCGGCGTCTGCCGCGTCGTCCGCCCCTTTGGCCTCGTGGGTGAAGTACGTGCCTGTCGGGAAGGGCGGCCTCGTATTAGCCACGCCCCCAGGGAAAGCCTCTCGCCTCCGATTGGCCACGGCGCAGCTCTTACCTTTGTGCCTGGCGAAGTAACGGCCCAGCACGATCAGCAGGCAGAGCATGGCGAAGACCACCACTGCCACCACCCCACCCACCACCGCGTGGTCCATCTTCTGCGGTGCTCCCTCGCCCGCTCGCGAGTCTGAAAGAGGAGGTGGCAGCCGTCACGCTGAGGCCAAGTCTCACGGGAAGTATTCTGGAAGCTTCCATCCGAGATTTGATGATAAATCAACAAAAAAGTCATATAAAAATAACCACACATCCTAAATTAGAAAGAAAAAGAATTAGCATATAGGGGGGAAACATATTAATGTGGTTATGGCCATTTGATAATTTCAAGAAAGAATGATTGCATGGTTATCTCACGCTACAGAGAATGGGAGTCTCCTGTTAACGCCGGCGTGATCAGAAAGGATGATTCCTCCATTATCCCTCGCTGAAGACAATCGCAGAGATGGTGAAAAGGCAGATGGCAGCACACAGATACGCCACGATGACATTTAGGTGTAAAGCTGAAATAAGGGGCCTGTCAGTATTTCTGACTGCTGTAAAGACTAACTGTAACTCACCCACCACGCACTGGAATTGTCTTTCATATTTAATTGCTTTTTCATTTATTTTTAATCTGGTCTGATGTCTATAATTCATTTGGTTTTCTTTTGGTGGGGGGGTGTAGGTGACCATGATATCTGTGCTAATTCACCCCACCTGTTTTCATCCCTAGGTGACATTCTTTTGGCTGCAGCCTCACCTGCCTCTGTTTGGGTATTATTTTCCCATCCGTTTTTCCATTTTGTTCTTAATTGTTGTGCTGTGTTGGTGCCATCCACACCTCATCCCTATTACTCCTCAAAAGGATGAACTTATACCTGCCATTTACTGCCAGATCCCAAGGTCACATGTTTCTGATTGCCCTCCAATCAGAACACACCTTCCCCCGTCATGTGACATTCTCCCTCCAGCAATCCGAGATAATTTCCCACCTATTTAATTTGTCTGTGCTTGCATTAAAGCCAGACTATTGCTTTTTCTTTATATGAACTGCTCTTCCATTTTATTGGGAGTAAAACATTCTTGATGTATTATTATGCATTTTGCCCTGCTTATGAATATTGAGCTGTTGGCTGAAAGACAATGGCAGCGCTCAGCATAGCACCTGCTGCGATATTGTGCTACTTTTACATTATAGGCTCATTATCCGCTCGTAAAGCTGCTTTTGTGTTATATCAGCTTGTACAGCCGGATGGTGCTCCGTAGCATGGTGGCACGATGCTGCCCCAGAGCCTTTAATGGGAGCAGACCCAGCAACCTTCATGGTGCTTAACGGCTTCGCTTCAGATCACCGTTCACACGTTTAAATGACCCCGACCGCTTCATGACCATCTCAACAAGAAACGGAAACGTGCCATGAATGATGAATGGCATTCAAACTGAGTACGTATGACTCCTGCCAGGCCGATAATCAAGCAAAACAGGTCGTTCTCATATGATCCGGCCAAGCCGCCATTAAAGGGATCAACACAGAGGTGTAGGAACAAGAGGGGATGGGGGAAGCGTGTACCCCTCTGTTTTTAATTTGTCTTTAAAACCCCCCCAAAAATAAACCTTTGCATTTAAGTTATTAAGCTGTGTCCCCTTCAATAACAAACTCTCTCATACCATCTTGGATCCACAGCTAAACAGTCTCCCCTTTACGTAGGAATGGGGGATTTGTATTGTACTTAGTGTGTATTTCCAATCTCCCATTGGGTACCTGTGGTAAGAGTCCCTTAGGTTTCCTAGTGGAATCATGCCCATGACAGTTCCATTAAAGTGATGTACGGGGCATACCCTGAAATTTAAACAGAGCGGGGCCTCAAACCGTAAAATATTCGTGCACGCCCATGATTTGTGGAGTTATACCGGAAGGTTCTTAGCTTCCATCTCAGACTATAAATCAGCCGCTGTACAATGTCTCCAAGTAAAAGCGGGCAGGTAAGAGGAAGGAAAAAAAATATACATTTGTCTGACTGGTCTAGAACTGAGAAACAGACTCCATTTAAACGAAAGATTTATATCTCCAGCACCAATTGTGAGCAGAGCTTTAAAACTCCAGAACCTAATCATATTTGAAACTTATTGATCAAGCGTAGGTTTCCATAAGTGACGTTAGAGAGCGTTAGAGAGCCAAGAGAGGTGGTGGTCCCATTCTGCATGAAGAATATGTTTATCTCCGTGGTGCTCATCTCCCGTCGACACGACCTGTTTTTGATGGGAGATGAGGGGAAGGCAAGAAAGGAGACAGTTCTCTAAAGTAAAATGAATACGGATACAGGCTCCATCAGGATTTCATATTAGCAATGCACTGTCAAAGGCCAGATCTGACAGTCTATGATGTATAAGGGGATTGGGGTACAAACAAAAGCATAAAACCAGCTAAAATCACCAAGAGGCACTTGTGCATCCTGCCACAGCATGATGACCTGAAACACAACCGCAAGTTAATCTTGCATCCTGTCACAGCACAGTTCTCCAAATACAACCATGAGTTATTCGTGCATCCTGCCACAGCATGATTGGCCAAACACAACCACAAGTTCATCACGCATCCAGCCACAGCACAGCCCTCTGAACACAACCATGAGACACTTGCACATTCTGCCACAGCATGATTGGCCAAACACAACCACGAGTTAATCACGCATCCAGCCACAGCACAGCCCTCTGAACACAACCACAAGTCACTCACGCATCCTGCCACAGCATGATTGTCCAAACACCACCACAAATCAGTCACAAACACTGCCTCAGCCATTGTGCTCGTCGCTCACCTTTCAAACAGAGATTCCTGGAGGACCTTGAACTAAATGTCATCCCGCCGAATGTCATTCATAATCAAACACATTCCAACAAAAACTCCATCAAAAGAATAACTGAATGTGAAATAGTGTTTGAGGCCTAAATTGACATGTTCTAAATTCCTTTGACGTGCAAGAAGTATTATATTGACATCAACATTTTGATGTTCAATGCGCCCATTTTAATACATCAAAATAATTAAATACTACGTCCAAGTTGCTTTGGTACACAATCATTTAGCTTTGCGTTCACAACAACTTGGGGCACAGATCTCGTCAGCTGTCATTATTGTTATCATCTGAGTGCAAGGCCCCGGCTCCCATACGGAGATCTGAACGACGTCCACGTGATAACAAAGGTCTCTTCCCGCTTCCCTTTCTTATCTGTCAGAAGCACAGTATACAGGCGCGGATGTGTCTAGATTCGAATCGGCGAGTTTAAAGTCTTCAAAACCAGCCTTAAAAGTCTCCAACTCGACTCGTGAATCTGTTAAGCCCCTGCTGGTTTAAAGAGCGTGCAGGGGAATTATGAACTAAAGACAATAGGCATCTCAAAGAATCTACTTTTCAATTTAGGAACAATAAAAAGTGAGGGAGAAATCCATGTGACATTTGCTTCAAAGAGCTAAAGATGGGGAGAAGAATCAGTTAAAAGTCTCTGAAAGCCCCCAGGCTTTGGGATTTGGGCAATATGGCAGCACACTGTGCATCCAGACCCACAAGTGAACTGGCTCGTAGCATTGGGAGAATCTGCATTCAGTTCCCTTTCGTTTTGCGTCTCCTGTGTGGATTCTGGATTAAGTTCCTTGCAGTAGGTTTTTGATGGAACCCTTCATGGAGTTGTTAACTGTGGAGCATAGGAACCTAGTGAAGACAAGCAGGCCAACCATGGTCTCCCACAACAATGTCCTGCCTGATAACTTCCTCACCGTCACTTCATCGTGACCCAGATCGCGCGCTGGGGACACCTGGAAATGCCAAAAGACAGCAGGCTGCTCTAAAACGCTCACGACTCTCCACGTTCCCCTTCTTTCAACGTAGCTCGGGAAGTAGAAGATATCCTGGCCATGCATCTGCTAAGGAGTTTCACATTTCACACATCAGCTTTTATGGTTAGCAGGGGGAAGAAAAAAAAAAACCTCTTCTGTTCCTTTCACCTAAAGCAGAGCTGCCCCAACATCAGAAAGATCCTCGCTACGGTCCGTCTCCACGAGGAGTTGTGTGACAGCGTGCCTGAGCGTATGCTAATTTGTGCTGATGAAAGGACATACAAGATGAGCAAGGAATTACAGTATCTGGACGGGAACCTTTTGACGAAGTGCCAGTTTGGCCATCTGAAGCCTCACTGCTCCCTCAGCTTGTTTGCCTGTGAAGGGATCCTCCTTTCCAAGTCCCAGCTGAAGAATGCAGAAGCGCTGCTTCCCTGTTCTGCGCCTTAAGTGAGCTAGCTCGTCTGCTTCATCTTGCTCTCAAAGTCAATTACTTCATTTCCTCGGGATAAGGCCGCTGTTGTTTCTAACCATCACTAAGGCGTCGGCTGCCAAGTTCTAATAACTTCCTCAAATGAAACACATTCAGCATCAGATGGTATCCCCTGGTGAACAATTACAATCCTATCTCGCTGGTCTGTTACCCTTTTTTCTTCCCAGCTTGCCTTTCAGCATTTTAAAGGAAATGCTTACAGTACGGTTCCTTGATGAGAATCTTTAGCCGTTAACGTCTCGAACGACGGTGACGCGCAGGAGCAGCTGTGCTGTCAGTTATTGATCTCTAAATAACGGCTCGCTGATACTCGACGCAATATTTTGTTATAAGGCATGACGGCTGCATTTCCTGTCCCGTGTGAGCCAGGAGTGGGGGGGGGGCTGATTTTATCCTCCAGTGATCTACCCTGATCCGTGGGGAAGTTAAAGCGTGACGTGGGAGCCGATGGCCTCACACTGAACCTGCCATGTGTCTAATATGAGAAAGGAGGAGAATCCGGTAACTTGCACTAAATCCATAAAAAGAGTTCCACTGCGTAGAATTGGAAATTGATTTTCTTAATGTCCCATTTTCGGTGAAGCGATTCTTTACCCATGTACATGGGCGACACCTCTCCTGTGGTCCACCTTCTCCCCAGGACCCTTGCATCATCCCATCTCCCACAGTATTAATTAGTCAGCGATACAGCGACATCCCAAAATTTGTGGCCCTCCATCTGGGAACGGGTAAAATCGGGAAGTGCAGAAACAGGGAGGTGTATGGGGCTGCAAACGCACATTGCTGACACAGCCCTGGAACATTTGGAAGGTTAAAGGCCTTT